CAAGCGAGACGCCTTCATGGACCACCTGAAGAGCAAGTACCCGCAGCACGCGCTGGCCCTGCGCGGCCAGCAGGACCGCATGCGGGAGCAGGTGAGTGGGGGCGCGGTGAGGTGGGGGTGCAGCCCATCGCTGAGGCGTCGAGGGGTCGAGGAGGAAGGGCAGGGACGCCTCGGAGCCGGAGACACCTCCACTCTCTGCGCGTTGGTTTCTCCCCTCCAGCAGTGAGGCTTGGAGAGCAGCTGGACCTCCCGCCGTGTGGGACCCTTGGGGTTCCCAGTGCTCCTCCCCATGCACGCTCACAAGCCTCCTCCGTCTCCTTCGCCTCAGTGCTGCCTTGGCCGGCCTTGATGGCTGCTGTGTCCTGTCTGTGGAAACGCAGGCACTGTCACCTGGGAGCGGGGATGGGGTGGCCGACATCCTGCAAGCCCGGGGTGTCAGTCCCTGCTCCCGCTGTCCAGCTCCCGCTCCCTTCTGGGTCCTCCCGGACGTCCCTGCCCCAGCCTCCTTGCGGGAACAAGGGCACATGGACAGTTCTGGTGCCTCCTTGGGCCCCTGGTGTCACCTCCGTCTCTGGCGTCAGACCAACTCCCGGAGTCCTCCTGCGAGCTGCAGATGAGCATGTGGCCCTGGTCTTGGGGGCCGCCCCAGGGGGTCCCTCTCACTAAAGGACTGCATTGTATGAGGGGCAAAGGACTGCATTTTGTATGAGGGGCGCAGTGAGTCTAGAAGGGGGTGGGGCTTCCTCGAGGAGGAGGCAGCCTAACCCGGCCTAGGAGGATGCCGGGGTTGGCTCAGGCAGAGGAAGAGGGCTGTTTTAGGGGGTCAGGGCGAGTGGCACGAGCACAGGCCTGCATTGGTTCGGGGGTGACCCAGACCCCTTAGCTGGTACAGAAGGCTCTGGGGGAGGCAGCGGGATGCATGGGGACAACTGACAAAATGGGGCTGGACGGTGGGGACCAAGAGGGTTGTTTCTGATGGTGAGGAGGAGAGAAAGAAGGGAAGAGTGGATCAAGGAGGGCGGAGGAAAGATGGGGGCACTAAGCAAGGGCTGTTTGCTGCCGGCATGGAAGAGGCAATGACAGAAAACACCCGGGTGACAGGGAGATCCCGGTAGCTATGTGGGAAAGGCTTGAGGGAGGCGAGAGGAATAGAAGTAGGAGATGTGTGGGCGGGGCCTCCAGAGCCACGCCCCTGGCGCATGCGCACAGACCAACTCCAGAGGGCCTGGTGTGCGGAAGATTTAAGAGCGGGAGCACAGGGCCAGCCAGGCAGAGCTGAGTGGGGTGGGGAAGAGAGCCGTGATGGTCGGAGAGGGGCACCAGGAGCTCTGCCGCCATGAAGAGGGAGGGCCCTGCGGGTCCAAGTGTGGGCAGAGGCACAGCCATCTGGAGCCGCGGGTCCACGGGGCTGAGCTGGTTCCCCCTGGTGTAGCGGAGGAACAGCTCATTTAGGGTCAGGATGATGGGGACGGCCAGGGCCTGGGAGCCGTGGCCACACACCTGTCTGGGGGGTTTGGCCGGAAAAGGATGGGGCAGCCAGGCGGCAGCTTCGAGGGGCGCAGGCCTGGCGCGAGGGTATGGATGTGTTTGTGGGCCTTGTGGCACCCGGCATGATAGTAGTGGGGTGCTCAGCACGCAGCAGACGCTTCCGGGGGCGTCAGAGCTCGCCACTCAGCTCCCTCCCTTCCTCTGTCTGTCAGACGGCCTTCCCTCCCCAGGAGGGTGAGTGACAGGGCCCGGCTGGTTCCCTCGGCACAGAGTGCTTGGTGTCTAAGTGTGGCACAGCCAGCACTCAGGGAAGGAGGAACGGGTGGAGAGAGAGGGTGCAGGTGAGGGTCAGAGGTCCGGGTACCGGGCAAAGAGGGGTCAGGCCCTGGGGCTCCGGGGTAGAAGGACGTCATTTCCACAGAGATGGCAAGAAAGACAGATGTTGTTGGGTCACAGATGTAGCTCAGCAGTGCAAGGCCCTGAGTTTGATTCCTGGTATTAAAGAGAGAAAGACAAGAGACCAAAGAAAGACAGATGAGCTTTTGGGGCAGAGATGTTGGAGGGAGGCCACTCCTGCCCAGTGGTCCCCTTCTCCGTGAGGCGGAGGTGACACACTGGTGAGGAAGCAGAGGGAGAAGGCTGAGTGTGCAGGGGACAGGAGGCGGGGTGCCGTCAGGGTCCGGACAGACAGCTTCCAGGGGGTGTCTTCAGGGAAGGCCGTCCCTGTCCTCTGATCCCCTGTGTGAGAGCAAGCAGACCCCAGGCCCTGCCCGCGGCCCGCGGCTGAGGGAAGGGACCCACTGTGCCATCGCCTGCCCCAGGAGTGCCCCACCCTGCCCCACCCTGCCCCAGCGGCTCCCCCTAATGGGGTGTCCCCCACTTCACACACGCAGGTTGGCGGCTGGACCGTGGACCCCGTGTGCCTCCTCAGCTCCCTCTGCTCCCACCTGCATGGTGACTCCACGCCCTGTGGGGCTGGCCAGCCCGCCCAGGTGAGTCACACCTCCCGCCTGGCCCCAGACCCACGGCGGGCTCGGCTTTGGGGAGGCTTTTTGGTTTTTAATTTTTAGAGGGGGGATATTCCAAATT